CTCGATCTTTTGCTATGGGGTTGTGATCTCATTTTCCATTCTATTGACACTACTGTAGCGCAGGAGTGAGTCCGTGCCAATCTTGAAGGACTTTGCACTTCTAGGGTGTCGAACATAGCTCGGAACAACTGATAGCTAATGCTTATTTATCCTGTGTGACTTGGCATGTTTGAGAGCTATGACACATTATGGCAATGTTATCGGCGTAGTCCAAATCAAGAAGTCGTGCATCTGGGTGCGGATCCACGCCTTGCAGCTCGTGTCAAAGGAATTCCGTTTCCTTGACGTCGTCAATGAGGAAGTTAAAAAGGAAAGGCGACAGCTAGCATCCTTGTATCACACTGCTGGATATCTTGGAGGGCGGCGACAGTTTGCCCTCTGTCCGAACTATGCGAGTAAAGCGCTTTGATACTGTTTACTTGTTTTCCCGCATCTTTCCTAAATAGGCAGTCCCAAAGGGCACGCCGATCAACCGGATCGAAGGCCCATTTGAGGTCTAAGAACACTACTACGGTTTTTCGCCGATAAATATGTCGGTGCTCCAACAATGGACGTAATGTGAGAATGTGATCTATACAGTGCGATTACTACGAAACCCGGCTTGCTGCTCACGAATGTGGCTTTCACTTATGCCAGCACGTCTATGAAGAACGACAGAAGCGAGTATCTTAGGGGAAGGTGAGATCAGACTGACCACTCACATTCGAAACGTGGGCTACCCTTGAAAATCGGGACTATTATCGAGCGGCTCCAGTCTGCTGGGACAGTTTGCTGCTTCCACAGCTTCATAAGTAAGTTGTACAGATCATCTACCAGAATAGGTCTCCCGAAGTCGTAGGGAGCTGTAAGCATTCCATCCGCTCCCGCGGCCTTATTTACTACCAAATGTCTGATTCTACATTCGACTTATGCGCGTGAAAGCGGATCCACGGGGACGGCTTAGATTAAAGGGTAATCAATCGCCGAAGTAGTAGCTCTTAACTAGTTGCTTAGGCTGCTCTTCAGATTGCTCAGCCCATCGCTCCAGGCGTTTTGACAAACTGTGGATCGGCTGTCCACCCTTGTCGCGTGTGGTCTCACAACAGGTCTCTTTCTGCCCCTTTCACGGATCAAACGGAATAAATTTCGATGGTTACCAATTGTATCGGCCATTTCCATTTCACGTGCGCTTTGCGATCACCACGTTTCGCGGTCTCTCTTCAAGCTAGCACGCATCTCCGCCCTGAGGTCTTTGCGAGTCTCGTTGTGTTCACTCCCAGCCGGAATGTGTCGGTAAGCATCCAAAAGTTACAAAGACTTCATAAAGCCACAATATCGAGCTTGACAACTTGATTTACCACATAAAAGCATGCGTTCACTGGCCCTCTACTGTGTGTTCACAGAGCGTTTACTCAGGCCAGATGCCAGCGTTCTTTGATACACATTCAGAACATCTAGCTTCGCCAGCTGGCAAATACATGTGCTCTCAGAGAGACGCCTCATGTGCCCACGGAAGCGAACCATAAGATTGGGACAAACGAGTGCCTAGTCGGAGCCCACGCTCGTGCTCCAAATTGAGCGACCATTTTGGATACAGTCTCTTCATCGTTAACTGATCACGGTGTGGTCGATTTGCGTTCATGGCTGGTTTGAAGTGGGTTGGCACCATGCCACTCTTCTGCGGGTACTGCATCGGAAATTAGTGCTTGCGAGAGATAGACGATTATCTTCCCGCACGTTTAGCAACCGTTATCACTATGAGAGCCTACACTGTGTTGGCCACCCAGATGAATCTCATTACTGGACAGTTTTCTAGCTTGGGCGTTCAGATCGTCAGCCAGGACCACAGTATCTGTGCATTTTCTGTGTCGAATATGCTCGTTCTGTTGGTGATAGAATTCCTCTTTCACCGAATCAGCGCTACAATTTGTTGGCGCCTAGGCCGCAATGACGAACAAACACGCGCGACTTCGAAGTTCCGAACGTACTAGCTAATCTAACAGCGCGCATCCGGTTGTTCATCAGAATCTAGTCAACTAAGGCAACTTCAGCCCGGGGACTCAGAGAAATACCCACACCAGCTTGACCAGTATTTGAAGCTGCGTTATCTGCAGCCACACGCAATGGGAACGCGCCGCCAGTGTCGCTTGTAGGGGATCGTTGAGTGATCACTGCATTCGCATCTTGCAGGCGCTTTTCCGATAAGCAGCAGATGTCGATCGATAGGGTCTCTAGTTTTCGGACAAGTTCTGCCTGTTGGCCAATCTGCAACAAAGTTCGCACGTTGAGGGATCTCAGTCTTAGCGAGGATCGGGGGCTTCAAATGGAAGTAGATGAAATGACGTTGTCTGCTTGGTTGAAGCGACCTCCTGCGGTTGCATGTGAGTCGAAACTAGAAGGCAAACGACCAATAAAGCAAGATGGTGGAGCGTCAAAAATTGGAGGGTTGAAAACAAGGGGAGGATAAAAGTGCAGTTTGGCGATAAGGATGAAAAAGTACGAGAGGGGGGAAGGAAGACGGGAAAACTTGAGCAACAGCATCTTTACCGCTATTCATTTTGTCGGATGCAGCAGATTGCGCACCGTTTATTATCCTCTGCGGTGGCGGGGGGATTAAGAAATCATGTGAAGGGAAGTTCATGGAGCTGTATTGCGCGGGCAGGATACTGTCAGATTGCCCAGACCTAGACAGGAAAAAGATTAGGGTTCTCGACCAGCCTTTGGTTCAAAACCTGACCTCAAAATAGTGGGGTTTTCTAGGAGACTTATCTGCATACATTATTAACTAGACAATGGGTTAGTCTGCGTGTTCGCGCGACTCATTTATCTACGTCCAATTACACATTAATGCCAATGCGGCTGTTCATACCATACTAAATAAGGGTTATACGTTGGTCATACCCAGTTTTAGCGCGTTTCTTTTGCGTTTTTGGCCAGAAGTGGCTGCTTCAGGGTGGTAACCTACTGTTGCAACACTTAATCCAATTACTACCGACTTTTGTTTCCGCCGAATTATCGCTGAAAGTGGTCCGCCGTTTCCTACATCTAGTGCAGTGTTCTCTCGGTTAGCCACTAGAGAGATTGTTGCAGCTTTCTTCAGTATTACTATAGTTTCACCTGTAAAGGCAGCTATCCTTCTGTCAGAAGTATGGTGTGAGGCGCTGCAGCGCATCCGGTGTTACCAATTGAACGTATTTGGTGCTTGTCTTTTTTGCTCTATATTAACGGTATCCCAATATTCATCAAACGTAGCTGGCCATCTTCAGCGATGACAGTAAGATTATTTATAGGTTTTGACGCGACAAAAGCCAACGCACAATGTCGCTCTTTCAAGAATACATCGATTCATTTGAGAAATGGCGTAACATGGCTAATAAAGTTTTTATTTGGTATATCATGCATCATATCCTACGGATGTTTGGTTCCCTGAAGTCATTTCAACTGATTAATGAACGCATCTGTGTAGGCGTACGATACTATTCAAACCAGTTTCTCAGAGCAGGATGAGTATCAAATGGCACGCGGCAAACGATCTGCGGCTAACATGTGCCATAAAATCCATTCTTTCCCTGCCATAATCGAACTTTTCAATACCCTCATACTTCCTGTCCTAGAATACGACATCATTTATGGGAACATGCAAATGGGTAACCGAACAGCTTTGGGGAAAACTTGCAAAAGTTATTCACTAAACGTTTGTTCAATAAATCATGCAACTTGAGCTTTCAGGATCGTTGCCAGCAGCTTAAGCTCGAGCCTCTTTGGTTGCGACGACTGAACTATAACCTGATGCTCACACGCAACCTCATAAATCAAAAGACACTCTCTAACCTGTGCACGTTAGAATTGCAACAAATTCACCTGGTGGCTTCACAACGAGACATGTCAACTAATTGTACTAAGATCCGGGGACAGTTATTCGATACAACTCCTTCCTCGTCAAGTACGCAGTCATGTGGAATAACCTACCAGCCATTATCAGGTCTTGTACTAGTGCAAGAACATTCCACATTAAACTTTAAAATTTCCTGGGCCGCTACTCAATAATGACCACGTTTTCCTCTGACAAATCCCCAAAAGAGTCCTTCTAGGATGGACCAAGGAATATATAACCAGTGCGAAAAAATGTTGCACAAAACTCAGCACCAATAAAAGTCACATATTTCGTAATATTTTTCTGACAGGCGCCCTAGAATATCTCACTCTTACATGGGCATGATCATTGCCCTATTAATGATCTGCCCCCATTCCAAGAACAATCGAAAGTATATGCCTTATTATTAGGATTATTATTATATGCATCACCTATGCTTATTGCTACGTATGCGAAGCATTACTCCTCTGTTACGAAACTATGGAGCTGCTAGTTCCGCTATCCTTCGGTTGACATTTGACAGCAAACCCTATTGCGCCGAACTGGCTCGTCTGCTGGGTTTGCTGGGTTTAGTCACGTTCCTCCCGTCACTTAATTATATTCTCAGTGTACTTGATGGGAGCAGCCACCCGATTGCGAAGTATGTTACCATAAATTATTTAATGGATAGACTTGGTCGGGCAGATACCGTTTTCAGCACAGACCACCAGCAGTTATGAATAGTTGTGGCAAATTTAAACTTTTTTCATTGCCTGTAACCTCCGTTTATTATAAATTTCCTTTTACTGATTTCTGAATTTCCCCTGTTTTGAGTAGGATTTTATTATTTTCCCACAACTGCATATTTCAGTCATCAGTTACCAGGTTCTAGTTGGTTAATAGAACGCTTTTTTATCTGTAATTTCATCATAGTATTTGTACATTTACTCACATTTTTGTGCTGGTTATCCATTTACTACATTCTTTTCATCTCATTCAGTGCCTATTAACTTAAAGCACCATTGTAGTACGATGCTATTTGACTAAGGCCAGTCTTCTGCCTGTACGCATCGCTGCATTTCACAGTTTTATCCCATCGTTTCGCCCTGTGTCCGTTATGGTCGCATTCGCAGCTACTGTTGCTGTTCTCCATTCTTTCTGTTTGCAGTTCTGTGGCGGCTTTAGCTTCCGAAAGCTTTGGGCATTCACTGGTCCCGGGTTTCTCATGAGTATCGCTTACCTAGACCCGGGGAATATCGAATCTGACTTACAAAGCGGTGCAATCGCAAAATACAGCGTGAGTTTCCTCTTGACCCGCGTTTTTCTTTTTGTCATTCCATAGCGGCGTTCTCCTAAGCATGCACTTCATGCTGTCTATGCTCTCATGCCTTTCGGTCACTTGTTTTACTTCCCAACGGTTGCTGCTGAATCATCGCCTCGCATTTCAAAATTAGACTATTCATTGAGTGTATCATTCCTGACAGAGCTCAGTAGCCTAGTTATCACTTAGAATGCTATCCTAGTTATCTGAACTAGCGAAGATCGTCTCAGCGTATATTACGACCCATATTGTGGCTGCTTGTTGCAACCCAAACTCACAGCGCGCGCCACTAAATCTACACCAGTAACCTGAGTTTTTTTTAGCTGCATGTGTCATTGTATTTTCGCAAGTATTTACTGACAAAAGTTTTACCGTATCGTCGGATCCATCTGATGGATGATTGTTTATGAAATCAAGATCCGTCGTGATTCCTGGGGGGGGGGGGGTTGCTAACTGACTTTTGCAAAATATTGACCAGTTAAAATGCTGTTGCTCCACTAATATGACTCAATTGTTCATCTTGGTCACAACCCTTTCATTCCATCTCTATGCTGCGTTCATGCTGTCATGGCCTCACAAGCGTCGGTGATGCTTCCTCGGGTTAGCTTCCGAGTTGCCTTCCACGAATAGCGATGCACGACTCCTCTCACTTTCCTTTGGATTTTTTATGCGGCTTGTTATCATGCTTGTCTCCTAAAGAGTCGAGTAAGCAAACTGTTCCGTGAAGTTCCTTGCGAACTCAGAGACCGTAACGGTTCTTACTGCCGGGTGCTTTTCGGCTGGTTCTACGGACCCCTGTTCTATACCGCAGTTGGTCTCACACCTGGTAGGTTATATTTGGCACTGTTTGATGCCTCCCTGTTTCGCATTCCTTCTCGTGTCACCATGCATCACTTTTTCAATCAACATTAATTATCGCGTAATACACACTATGCTCTTTCAGTCAGTGTCTCTTTCCGTTAATTTAGCTTTATAGCAAGATTTCATCTTTTTATTAACTAGCAAATTCAGCACCCGTGAATTTCGCTATGTTCGGTGTCCAGTTACTATGTGATACTATGTGAAGACGCGTTCGTTAGTTTCGTACCGCACTGCACCATTAGCATTTCTGCTATCTCCTTTCAATACGAGCAGAGTCCGGTGACATTCTTCGGCCGACATGTGGATGACACCCGCTCTTCTTTTAAAAAGAAAAAAAGCATTTCAAGTTAGCACATACCTCTTATTTTTCAACCAAATCATTTGGACACTAAAGAAAATTTTTCCTGACTTTTTGCCTTCTTGGCACTTTTAGCTTCTGTGGCTTCTTCTCGCGGCCACTTTGATTGGCTTGTTCATGCAACGGTTGGCTCTGCGTTTGGGCGTTGTGAGCGGGCGACATCTGGCAGAAGTATGTTATGACGAATACCCCCGACCAGCGCGCTTATTGCTGTGGTTGATGGTGGAAATAGCTATTATCGGATCCGATATGCAGGTTCGTTTTCGGTCCTCTACATTGTTCTTCACGATTGCCTTTACTTGAATAATGAATACTGCCTTACGGGTGAAGATATAGATTTAAATCTGTACAACTCAGTCGAAACATGCTGAAAGACAGTGAAATTGAAAACCGTTTGTGACTTGTAACTATTCCAATTGTTTTCAACTTCCAACATTCTGTCGTAAAACCTGCATGATTCACAGTAATTTTTAACTCATGTGTGAGATGTCATTGTCAGTGGGTTAATGTTCTCTTAATCGAACAGTGGAAAAATGTAATTCCAGCGATGCCCTGAGCTGCTGCGTCGCGTTTGTCTTCCAGATGTTTCTGACAGACTGTCAAACATTGACCGCTCTCCTCTTGAAGCACAGGAAAATCACCAGTTTCAGATTCTGTACGATGAGCTTGTGTAAGTGTCTGCCTCGGCTGCAGGGTGTGCGGTACGTCATGACAAGTTGGACTCGTGTGCGATGATACCACGGGGTGTACAGTCAGTCTCTTGCACCTGTAATCTTACTGCAAATCTCGTAAGCTACGAATTAGTCTTGTAGCAACGCGCTGTATCCGTTCCGTCGCAACGAGACTGTACCTTCTATGCCGGTTTGCCTACCTCTTCACCCATTGTACTATACTGGACCGATCCCCCAAGCACCTTGAGAGCTACACCAGCCAAGGTGGTCAGTGGTTAGAAATCAAACAAGCTCAGTCTCCTAGTCCTCTATCTCGGGAGTTGAAATCCGGTTGGCTCCCAGCTCAGTAAATCCAAATCATTGTCACCTTCTCCACTGCCTTGCGGACAGGCTTTTGAGCCAAAGACTTTGGTCGTGGACTTTAATCCTCTTCTTGTCTAGGTCTGGTCTTCCTGGCATTTATCTCAGCCTACATACAACCATGATTATTTCCTAAGATGTCGACCACATCCTGCATCTGCCGTCTCGCCTGATATCAGGAGTCGCCCTGTTGCATACATCAGGGCAGATAATCGAAAGGATGCTTCTGCTGGCGCCTCTCTTCCTTTTCCACCTTTCTCACTCCCATCCCGACCCTAATTATTAATTTTTCTTCTATAGTTCTCAGCTTCCTTGACAGCAGCCGCAATGACATTGGAGTCAAGCCATCTGCAGCTAATTTCCTGCAACACCCACTGCACGCATATCGGTAACAGCCTTTCATAAGACCACGCCGTCCCTTTTCGTTGACGGTATTCGTTGTTCAGACTCTGAGACAAGTACGTCAACAGATTGCACTCACACACACGTTGGACACCCTGGGTATTTACGTGTTGTGTGTCTGATCCTAGGATCATTAACACCCGCGGCGTTGTTGAAGTAACTGCGTGCTGCTTGTTCTCTCGCTATTGGTCGCAGGGATCCGGAGACGCTGGTGGGGCACTCACTGGTCAAGCTGGGGTGGGCATCGTTCACGGCTCCAAGTCTGAGCCATCATTGGTTGATTGGATTCCCGTGAGCAGCCAATTAGACATCAACTAAACTTGGTTCACAAACCAGCACTGGACGCTTTTTGTTTGTGGTTTCCGTTTATGCTCCCAGCTACTGCAGTTCTGATATCACGAACGGAACACGCTGCTTCATAGTGTTGCTCGTTCAGATCTCGTTGTTGTTACTGCAGGGGATATAAAAATGCACAAATATGGCGTCTGTGCTTTTCAGAACCTCAGGTGCGTGGTGCGTATGGATTTAACTGCCATCGGACTGACGACGTGGAACATTTGTTGCAATTGTTTGCGGAGCACCGGTCATTTCTTAGTAGCACCGCTTTTAGACACAGTGGGCACCGAAGTGCCCATTGTCGTCCCTCTATAGCTGGCTTGCGATAGACCCAAATAGGTCACTTTGCCATAAGTTACAATTGTCCTAGTTCCATTGTCGCTCGTCCTGCAATACCTGCATCGGTTCTGATCATGCTTTGGTACGCTGTCGTTTCTCCATTGACTTTACCGGGTGGCGTATCGATCGCCTCCCTCGATTGCGAACTTAGAAATTATTCCATCCCCCAGCCACGCAAGCTTGCTAGGGGGTCCTGCGGTCCGAACTTTCGCTGTCCTGTCCTTATGACACTGAAATTCATTTGCATAGAATTTTGACTGTCATGTACAGTGCGGAAGCCTCTGCTTGTGGTACTATCAGTCTTCAGCGCAGTAGTCGCTGGATCTCCGAGTGGTCTGTGTGCCTGTTGGAATGCAGACAAAAACCAGCATTGCTCTGAGCACAATATTCCATACGGACTATTTGGCGCGAACTGAAGCGGAATCTGCGTGCTGACAAGGAAGTCTGGTGGATCAGTCAGGGCCCAAAAATGGATAAGGCTGGAGAGGCAGCGAATTATCGCAAGCTATTCTAACTGATCCGCAGTTCTGGTCTCAGGAAAGTAAGTGTTGTTGAGGCAATGAGAGAGGGCTCGGGTGCCATGTTTCACAAAAAGGGGCGCCATATTTCTCGTTGGGCGGAGCACTTCTGAGAGCATTTCAGTTGGTCCTCCGTTTCCTTCCCACCTCCTACTCAAGGGCTGCAGGCGCAGTCATGGATGGATAGTTTAAAGACTGTCGGAGGCTGAGGTCTGAAACGCGATCAAAGTCCTTAATCGTTTTCGTGCTGCTAGCTCGGATTTCCTTCACCCGCATTATTGAAGGATGCGGGTGATATCCTCTTCAATGCATTACCGTCCCTGTTCGAATAGTCCTGAAAGTTAGAGACCATTTCAGCCAACTGGAGTGAATGGATCATATTCGCAATATACAAGAAGAGCAAACATATCGACTGTGCCAACCGCAGAGCTCTCTACTCCGGTTACTGTCCCAGTCATTGGTTCGCTCCGAAGCAATCTGTAGCCTTAATCGAGATTTCATGTCGCAATCCAGACATACGGCGAGTTCTCCAAGACCCAATAATGAACTTTTAACCGCTGTGTCAAGCGGTGTTGTGCAAATCTGGCCTAGTGACAAATACGACAGCCGTCAACCACCACATTTGGCTCCTCTCTCAACTCAAGCTATCTCTACCGGACTAGTCCAAATCAGGAAGAAACCGGTGCAGTGTTGGGAGAAAGCAACTCCGGAACTCTACGCAGTGCTATTAGCCTAACGCCAGTGATGACAAAATAACTATCCTCTATTCTCGTTCATCGCCTTACTGCGGTACTGGAATCCAGGATTAGGGAAGAGAAGGAAGGGTTCCGCACCGGACGGGGCTGCATAGACCATATGTTTTCTCTGTGGCAGGCCTTAGAGCAGTTTCTCACCTTCTGCAGACCAACAATAACTCTGTTCCTCGACTTCAAGATTGTGTTCGACTCAGCTGTTCAATGCATTCTGTCCGAAATACTTGCGCGAAAATGTGTCCCCATAAAATATTTGATCATTTTACGTGCTCTGTATTTTACCACAAGCCTCGTCAACTTCTACGGTGGCTTATCCGATTTCTTCCCGACAACAATTGGGGTTCGTCAAGACGCTCCATTTTCTCATTTCCGTTTAATTTCTCCCTAGACCGCATCATTGAGTGTCCACTTGTATAATCTCACAATGCAAGTGTTAACATGCTGCCTCATGAAAGGCTAGTTGATCTTGATTATGCGGTCGATGTTGTCTTGCTCTTTATCGGCGTCGGGGTGACCCAGTCAATCCAGAATAGTGTCTCTAGTGGGACCCCATCATTTGGTATGCACCTCGCACTTCAGAGTGCAAAGTGCCGCCGCGGGACTACTAGCCACTTGACGACTCCTTGATCTTTGATAGCCAGTTTCTCGAAGTAGTTGATCAATTCACTTACCTTGGCAGCTGCATCAACAACGATGGGCATAGCGACTGAAGTCATTCGCATATTTCAAAAGTCAGAACTGCTTTTTTGAATCTGAGACATCTTCGACGACCGAGATTGGTTTACCTCCGTTTGAAAGCCTGTGTATACAAGGCCACAGTTGGCCATTCTATAGCATGGGAGTGAGACTTGGTCCCTTCGGTCTGAAGCTCTGAGACGCCTTCAAGTCTTTGATCATCGCCGTTTGCGGAGTATTGCTGGTGTCGAGTGGCAGCAGTGTCCGCAACGATGATGTGTGTAGGCGAGTTCTAGGCAGTGATACCCAAGCTAGTTCCTTAGAACAACAGATAGCACTGAATTAGTTGCGTTGACTTGGGCACGTACTACGTATTCCCTGTCATTGGTTACCAAGGAGGGCCCTGTTTTGTCTGCCAGATGTAGGGAGACTCAAGGCCCGTGATGGACAAAAGTTGACCTTCCCGGGGGGAAATGAAGTCACTGGCGACCAAACCGGGTGCCGTCGGTCCGTCTCGCCTTCCAGGCTGGAGTCCACATTACTCGCCTTGTTCTTGGCCCGAGACATTACATGACATGGCTCTCAGCCAACACCAGTGGTGCGTCTTCTGCCGTCTCTTAGTCGGATTGCCTGTTTAAAGTGTGTTTGTTGCTGATTTATCTGCGGGGTAATGACTGGTTATAATGCCAGATAGTGAAGACCGCAAGGAAATTATCTCGTCGATGCCGCGTTATCTTAGCCTGATATCCATGATGGCATGTTGTTGACCCTGAATGTTTACTTAGGGCGTTCCATCGCAATGAGGCTGGACCTTACCGTGGCGCGATGCTTTGTGTGCCTCAGTGATCCATTGAACTATGCTGGGTGGTGCTTTTACACCTTCAGTCACTCATAGCAGATTGGTCAATGGTTAGAGACCAGACAAACTCAGCCTCCTGGTCTTTCAGGTTGAAGGTTGGGATGAGGATGGCTCTTTATTCTTTAAAACAGACTCCTTGTAGCCCAACGCCAAACCCGCTACCTTGCGGTCAGGTTTTTGAACCAACGGCTTTGGTTGAGAATCCTAATTGTTCTCCTGTCTAGGCCTGGGCAACCTGACAGTATCCTGCCCACGCAATACAATGAATCTATGAATCTCTCTTTAAACAAATTTCTGATACTCTGACCACCTCAGAGGAAAACCAACGGTACCCTATCTGCTG